GGCTTGTTGGTCTTCTTTCCCTCCTCCCCCTCCTCCCCAGACTGTTTTCACAGAAATGCACCAGGAATGCAAGTGTCACGGGATGTCAGGCTCTTGCACCGTGAAGACCTGCTGGATGCGCCTGCCCACCTTTCGGACCGTGGGAGACTTCCTCAAGGATCGCTTTGACGGCGCTTCCCGGGTCATCTATGGCAACAAAGGCAGCAACCGAGCTTCCCGCATGGAGTTGCACCACCTAGAGCCGGAGAACCCAGCTCACAAGCCCCCTTCCCCTCATGACCTGGTCTACTTTGAGAAGTCTCCCAACTTCTGCACTTACAGCGGCAAGACAGGCGCAGCAGGCACGGCCGGGCGCTTCTGCAACAGCACCTCCCCAGCTCTGGACGGTTGTGAGTTGCTGTGCTGTGGGAGGGGCTACCGCACCCGGACACAGCAGGTGACGGAGAGATGCAACTGCACCTTCCACTGGTGCTGTCACGTCAGCTGCTTGAACTGCACCAACATGCAAGTGCTGCACGAGTGCTTGTGAGCAACGAGGAGGGAAGCAAAGGACATGCATGGTCGAGTCAACGAGAAGCACCCAGATCAGAAAAGAAGACCTCACGAAAAGGCCCAGGCTGCATGGCATTCGCCTCACATATATGCACATGCACACACACACACACACACACACACACACACACACACACACATGCTCACTTATCTCCCTATTTACCCACAGGAGCACAGTACCCTTTCTTGGCCCGGAAACCAGACCTCTTTGTGGTTACAAATGTCTCACTATCTTGGGAGAATCAACCCAGGTTGAAATGGCTGCAGGCATCCATGAGAAACAAGGCAGTGATGCGCATGTTTTCAAGGGCCCAAGTGTGCAAGGAGCTCCTTTTGTATTTTTGCATGCTCATTGAAATAGACCTTGATTTAAACTAGATCTGAAAACTTCAGCCCCAGGGACTGCAGTTCCCAGGTTATTAGCTGTATTTTGATTGGTTGAAATCTTTCATTCCTTTCTTTGTTTCTGGACCAGTGGCGAAACGCTACCGGTTTGCCCTGGTTCAACCGATCCAGTAGCAAAAAATCCACCTAACCGGTAGTTAAAAAACAAGTTCCGACTGAGAGGACAGGAGAAAGAAGAGAAAAGTGCAGGATTGGCCTTTCCACCTGCTCCTGCACTTTTCTCTTCTTTATTTTGTCACCTGATTGGCACGGCAGAGCCTCAGCTGATGTTTGGAAAGCTACGCGCACACGTGCGAAGTGCACGATCACCGAACCGGTAGGGAAACTGGTAGAATCCCACCACTGTTCTGGATCTCTTGGATGATTGGAATAGAAGGCAGGGAGGGGGAATATCTTTATAGCAAAATATCTCGGCTAATTATTTTCCATGGTATTAGTACAGGCAATCCTCGACAGTTCATTGAATGACTGTGTCAGCCCTGGACTTTGAACAGGCTGTTGCCACAGTGCTGGAAAAGAATTTGACAGGATTGTTTTTCACACTTAACGACGGTCGCAGCATTCCCAGGGGTCCCACGGTCAAAAGTTGGACTCTTGGCAACTGACTCGTTTATTTCGTAGCTGTGATATCCTGAGATCATGTGATCCCCTTTTGTGACCTCCTTACAAGCAAAGCCAACAGGGAAGCCCAATTCACTTAACAACTACCACACGTTACTAACAGCTGCACTGATGTAGTTAAAAACGGGGCAAAACTCACTTGGCAAGTGTTTTACTTAGGAAGGAAAACTTTGAGCTCCGTTGTGGTCGTAAGTCAAGGGCTGCTTGTATTAAGAGACCCTTTGGCTCATTTCCCAATCTAAGTGCCCTCTAGATGTGTGGACTACTGTCAGCAAAAGCATTATTGCATTTAATTCTGCCAATTTGATCCATATTTCAGAAGAATAGCCGAGCTGGGGGAGATTGTCCTAGAGAATCTGGCCTTGGGGGCTGCATCTGTTACCTAGCAAAATTGCAAGTAGGGAGGTTTGATCTCTCAAAGACAAGCTCCCTTGCTCCAAGGGAGACAGGCAGCTCCCCTTTAATTACACGTTGCTCCTTGTGCTTACAACTATTCTCAAACACAATTTTTGTGCCACTGTGTGGAGGTGGGGAACATGCAGGAAAGGATGTGTTTCTGACTTTTGAACTTTTGGTTAAGAAAACATGCTTCTAGAAAATACTGATGTTCCTTTGACAGTTCTAAATATTTGCCCCCTTCCTTTCATTTTGCTCTCGTCCACTCACTCTCCATGGAAATAATATGCACTGAAGAAGTGACTGGGATTGCTAATAATTTTGCAGATGCGTGTAAATAAAATATTTATTATTGCTTGTTTCATATTCCTTTAGGCCTGAAGCAAGGTTCTGGCTTCTAGACTTACGGTTTCTGAATCTTTTTGCAACATTTTAGAGAAAAATAAAGTATATATTTTTATCAATTTAACTGAGTTTAATGTATTTTGCTGTACTATACAAAGAAGCCAAAATTCAAATGCATGACCCTGAATTGCCTTGCATTACCTTGTTTTTAACTGTGTCTTGATTGTGCACAGATGTGATTGGCACCCTTGTTGAGGTTGGTGCAGTTATGCCTAATTTGACCTCTCAACATAGATCATGGAGTTCTGTCTGGCAGCTTTTTCTCTAAGCCCAATTTTTTGCAGCTGAATGAGAACATGGAGGACTCTGCCAGTCATCAGTTAAAGTCTCCAAGCATTAGATAATTTACCACATCCTTTGCTGATCTGTTCCAATATTATTGCATTTTTTAAAAGCTGCATTTCAATTCCAGCTTGAATTTTTGCACAAGACTCCAAAAGCTTCTTATGATTGTGTCTACCAAGTTAAGAAGCCCATCTCTTCAAAGAATACTGACAGGGTCAGAGCATGTAAACAGAGCCATGTTATAATGGCTCATTCATTACTTATGGCAAGAAAATTTTATTCAACTTTGAATAACTAAACATGTAGCTCAAGGAAAGGTAAATCCAGATTTGCCTGGTTGGAGAGACAGATAATTACATGATCAGGGGATTGTACTTGGCTTGTTACTAATACAGATTAAAACATTGTTCCAGGAATGCCAATACATATTTTGATTTTTAAAAAAAGATGGGTAAGGACTCCATTGAGAAATACATCTTGAGGTAATTAACACCTGCCATTTTAGGCATCTATCTAATACATGTTCCAAGGAAGTGGGGGAAAACCAACTAATACAGTTATACCTTTATGCACCTTAGCAGGTAAAAGGTCCATGCAGTGATCTGTCCATTCATCGATGGTGCTGAAAACAAGCTGTAGGCCTAACGTTTGTCTGTTGAGTAGCTGAGGCAGTTTCAACGATTCTGAGGATCTCTTCAGTATCCATATTTTTTGTTTCTCACTTTCAACTGCAAAGGGGAACATGATTTGGCCCAGAGGAGATGGCTAAGGAGGAAACAAAACATTGGAGGACAGAAACCTAGAGGCTGCCTAGAAAGAATAAGATGTTCTTCGTAGTGGTTCACAAAAAAGTGATAGAGTTGAAGATGGAGGGCAAAGGAGAAGAGCAGGGGCCAAAGTTAAAACCCGTCTTTGAGACTGGATGAAAAGTAATGCTATATCTATTCTACAGCTTTCAATCTTCAGTGATGCCAAAAATTGTATCAAGAAGGCTAACATGTACAGTATAAAGCAGGTCACATAGGATATGCTTTCAAATAGGATATAAGGCATTCTCCTGTGAAAGATCATTATGATAGACCTGCCTTAGAGTGCAGGAGAAGAGGCAAAGAAGGCTGCCAGATTCAGGGCTATTGAGCAATTAGATTTGGCTATTGGGGCTAAACATAGAGAAAAGTCTGAGCCATATGCTTTCCCCTGAGCTTAAGAGCACGAGAGATCAAGTGCCTCTTGTTCCAGGTCACCAAATAGCTTATGGAATCAAAAACAAAAACAGGGAAGTGTTTCCTTTGAAGAATCATTTATTTTTTAGTTTAGCATTTTAAGCTTAGGAAAGTTATTTGACCTGTAAGGTCTCCGTCCATGTCACTGCTTGATCCAGGACTTCATCTGAAGCTTTTCGTGGTTGTGTCACCATTGAACAGTCTTCACTCACTGGCACCTATTGTACTCGATTCAGTCTGATTGTCAACAGCCACTATCTTGGAGGGCAGCAGCAGCTCTAGAATATTTCAGATATGGCCCAGAATAGAGACCGTGGTCCATATTTGCTGGATTACTCTCAGCAGTGAGCCTATCAAATCTAGGGATGATGGTCAGGCAATTTCATGCCTGAGGGAAGTCAAAAAGCATGGCTACAGGACTGGTTCCTCCTTCAACTGGTGTGGATAACCTTGGGCAAGTTGTACTTTCACAACCCAACCAACCTCACAGGATTGCTTCTGCGAGGACATAAAGGACACTTGGCATCACCAGCTTGAGCTTCCTTACCATAAAAGACCCAGCCAGACAGGAAGTTTGAAGAAAAAAAAAATGTTTCCTGGGAGAACCTATCACAAGAGTCATTCCACATTTCTTTACAGTTATTCCACATTTCTTTATTTGATAGCCAAAATATTTTCTTGTTGCCTGAAGGCTAGTACATAGCCACACACAAGCACCATGCCGTTCCTGACAGCTGAACTGAAAATCATTTTTCTGCTTTCAACATGGGGCTATCCAAATGCCTCAGGAAATAAAAAAATAGCACTGATGTTGCTACCTAGTTTGGGTAATGAAATGTCTGCAAGAAATCAACCAAGCTCAGAGACCACGAAGGATCCCTCATTTCAACCCTGAATCTATATATCTATATATCTCTATATATCTATTTATCATCTATCATCTATCTATCTATCTATCTATCTATCTATCTATCTATCTATCTATCTATCTATCTATCTATCTATCTATCATCTATCTATCTCTATCTGTCTGTCTGTCTATCTATCTATCTATCTATCTATCTATCTATCTATCTATCTATCTAACTATCATCTATCTATCTATCTATCTATCTATCTATCTATCTATCTATCTATCTATCATCTATCTATCTCTATCTGTCTGTCTGTCTATCTATCTATCTATCTATCTATCTATCTATCTATCTATCTATCTATCTATCTATCATATATCTATATCTATATCTATATCTATATCTATATCTATATCTATATCTATATCTATCTATCTATCTATCTATCTATCTATCTATCTATCTATCTATCTATCTATCTATCTATCTATGTGTGAAATACCACTCATGCATCATCACACAATCTCCAAAACCATAGAGCCTACAAATTTGAAATTTGGCACCTATGTTCCTCTTCCTTCTAGATATTCACTAAGAAATGTTTTTTGAAACGACCATCACAACATTAGTATTTCCTATATTACTGCTCACAATCCTAACAGGAGGGCCTTGATGTCCACGCCGGGGGACCTCCTAGCACTGACCTCTACTGGAGATTCTGCCAACCCGCAAGGAGATCTGTTTGGATGATCAGTCTCTTGTCTTCCAGCTTCTCTACAGCTGGGGTGGGAAATGGGTACACCTTGGATCCCCCTTTTAAGTGCCAGGGAAACCTTCAAGAACCCAGCTGCATTTAAGCAATA